CCAAACACACTTTGGTAAGGAATTTAACTTGGATTGTAATTTTGGTTGTCCAATCAATTATACGTTGTCACTAATCAACGGAACACGGTTCGATATTGTCGCTTTTTATTTATGTCAGTAGCTACCGTATAAGTCAAAATATCATCGATGATAATCTCATTCCAATTTCATTATCTCATCCAAACTAGTATATTGGACCAAGAACTTCAAGTATCAGGAGTAATCCAGATTAATCTCATGAGATGGAAATGATTTGAGATAGCGATCGAGTATGGATTCATTTGGTGACGTGACCTTCATCTTTTAGGGAAGTGAATCCTATGAAATGAGTGATCTATCGTGCTTCAAGCCGAGACAGATTGATTGGCTATCCGTCAGTGTACCAGACCGTCCAACAGAGGTGGTCAAACCGTCATTTAGGGGCGGCACATCCTTCGAGGATGTTAACTCGACGTCCGTTAGTACGTTTATCCTTGCAGGCATGTTTGCAGTTGGTATATGATCTCGTCACTTTAGCTAGATCAGAGGAATACGTCTAAAGCAACATTCTGAAAGCTAGAATACATCGCACTTACTTATCACATTTGTGAGATACGGGATCGAGATGAGACATAATGGGCAACGTGCACACAAATTTGCGTCGTTCTATAGGATTTTTGATGTTCTTATCTCCCCCTAACGGTGGGAAGACTGTCTTATTGAAGTGACAATCCGCAAATGAGTAATAAAGAGATCGATTGCAAGGGCTCTAAGGGAGCTAATGTGAAAGAGAATTGTAATCGACAAAGATTCACATCCTTATCTGAGGACCCATATTGGTACGTTGCAGCGACGCAACTTGGCACATGGAATGCACACCCAGATGCATAAGTATGAAATGTCAAGTTCATACCCAGTAACCAACTGTAACGCCGAATAGGTTGGGTGGCAATAGACCTCAAGGCAGACTAACATATCTGCGTACAAGATTGTATAGCCCTAGGTAGAAACCGAAAGCTTGGTGCATTCACCAAGGTTTGCGTGATCATTTATATTGCACTTTATAATCACTCTGCGAGGCTGTTTTGGAGTGAACATGGGAATTTGATGTTTAATTATAAACCCAAAAGATGTGCAAACTTATCGAAAACCTTCGATATAAACTCTTTGACATTATCCAATCTTCTAGACTTTATAGGATTATTGGGATGGTGAACCCTTATAATCGACCAAGAGGTTTAACAGCAATGGGTATGTACAAACATGTGACCAATTTGTTAATTCGTCAACCAAAACCATAAATATTTATATGGTCCGCATGTTGGTTGGATTAGTCCACATTTATTCCCTTGAATCCACTGTGAAAAAAAGGTTGTTTCATATCTTTGCTAGGGATAATATAGAAATTAAATTTCCGAAATGAGTAGTCTTGGCAAAGTGTGCTTGTAAGCACATGATCCTTACTTCGGGGTAAAAATATGCGACATGGCATCATTGTTCAACCAAAGTGTCCCAAACGGTCATGCCAAAGCAAGTAAACTGCTCAATCACTAGGCTCTAGGCTGGCCACATGTGGCGTGTTCCCAGTTGGGAGGCAGCCCATTGGCCCCAAAGCAAAGCTTCAGGCTCATTTTTGGAGGTGGTGCAAAGATATTCACTCTATTTTTCATCAGTGGTTTCATTCATAATTATTGTCATCTCGAATATCCTTAAGACTCAATGACTTTCTTTTGGAACGGGGAGAATATAAGGTTTCTGAAATAGTAATTTAGTACCATTCATACAACGTAGACTATGCCAATGCTCTTAATCAGGTTAGATAGACCTGAAGTCACTGTTAGAGATGTAATTTAGGTATAAAGTTAGTGTGCATAATATCGCATTCATCCAGACAACTAGCTTTCCTACATTCGTACCTAATCACGTGTTTAATTGAATTTGGTCACATTTATTAAGAAACATGATTCAATTAACTCGTATTCGAGGACAATATCAATAAGATTATCCATAACAAAAAAACAAACACCAAACTTGAATCCAAGAACATGGAAAAATGTTCACAAAATAAATGGCTTACTAAGAGGATTTGGCCAACAAGGCCATTCATGTCAAAAGTCTGCTCTTCCAACCGTGTTCAGTGGAGCAAAATTAGTCTCACATATTGACTCCTAGAATGGTACTCCTTAACAACATTGGTAGGGGCACAAACAGGTGCATAATCAATAATCTATTCCATTGAGACAAAAGTAGATTCTACAAGGTTGAGGTCGGGAATATTATCCCTTATTTGAAGTTTTAGGCCTTAGGTGCCAAGGATCATGCTCAAGCATGATGCCACACCTTGCTTGGCCCTGATTCTACTATACATTGTAAAAAACAAACTCGAATTTGGATTGTGAGAGAGACAAACCCAAACTTAGGTTCGGTAAGATCCGGCCGAAGCTGGAGGGGTTTGTTTAATAGGCCTATGCCAAAACAGAGCAATATCGTTTAGTGTACTTCTGCCAAAGCAGATCATGCCCTTCGATGCATCTCTATCAAAGCAGGGCACCACCATTCAGTAGACTCCAGCCGAAGCTGAGTTTATACCGTTCTCTCATATCTGTGGTAGTAATTAGATCCTAGAATTTGGTAAACTTTCGCTCTCTACACTGCTGCTCCAGGAGCGAGTTATAAGCATGGAAGGACGAGAAAAGTATTCTTTAGTCAAATTCGATTGGATTTATTAAACTTCAAAGTTGTACTCATTCATAGACGTAATCATGGTGTACTTCAGGCAATATCGTTCATAATTAAACGGGTCGTAGAAGCAAGCCAAAGAGCCATGGAATCCTTATTCATAAGGTATTTCCAGTGGTAATGCTTGGGGCATAAGTCTTCGAGTGAAGATCATGGCGAAGACTTATTCAGCTTTTCCATGTCATTGTTTGCTTCAATGGTTACTTAGCTTCTTGATAGGCAAGTGGAGATTCGGGTCTTGTACCCACATAAAGTAGTTTCGGTCAAGAAATGTCCAAATTAGTGAAATCAAACTTGTTACGGTACGACAATCCACTGAACGGAGGGAACAAGATTGTGATTGGTGTTATAGAAAATAAAATATCTATAAGCATCAAAGTTAGAACATTCGGGTTTTAAGACATGGTTTACATGAAAAAATAGGTTTTTCATGGGTGTATTATTTTATGAAAACTTCGGGTTTCAAAGGCACTAAATTAAAAAATATAGGTTTGAGTTTAGTTATGAACTTCTGGTTCATAAAAATGAGGTACCTGTAAGAACATAGAATACAACATACAACTAGGTGTAGTGGATGATTTAGGTTGCTTTAGGAACTCAAGTGTGAGTGCTTCGGAACTACGAAAGGGAGTCAACAGTTCAAAGAAAAGAAATAAAATATTGAATCGTTAATGTTCAAAAGTGGGCTTCAAGCCAATAATTTTAGATGTCTTGTCAAATTAGTGGACTGCTAGTCACTTTAATTAATTCAATAGATCATACCATACAAGGTCAATCGTAGAAGCAAAATAAAAAATTGTCTAGGCCCATATGTGATTTAATGTGGGCAAGCCACATAAAAAATAAGCCTAAGAAACTGTGTTGAGGACCTTGACAAAACAAATCCCATATTGGGCTTGGGTAGGTCACACGGGCAGCCCAAGTGTACTATGCAAGCTGCAGGCTGTAATGAGATAAGCTGATGGAACAAAAAGGCATCCCAGTAACAACTAGGTGCAGGCGTTAAAAAAAGGCCCAAATTGGGCTCGGGATGGTTGCATTGGGCACTCCAATAACCTGCAAAGCAATCTGCATGCTTGTTGCGATGTCACAGGCCGAGAGGAACAACCCAGCAGCAAATGAGAAAATAAAACCAAGGCCGGATTGATGCGGGCTACTGCATGGAGAGGAGCAGCGATTGTGACGAGTCACATGGATCTAAGGATGCAGCTACAGGCTGTAGAGATAAAAGGAAGGCAGGCCGAGTATGGGCTGAAGGCAGAAGCCCAGCAAAGTTGGCTTCTTATGAGGCTGGCACGAATTGATGCTGCATGCCCAATCGTGAAGAACCTAGATGTTTGGCTTGGTTTGTCATACGTGCAGCAAGCCTATATATTTTTTCTTTTTTTTTCTTCTTATTTCTAGGGTTTGCAAAAACCCAAACTTGCTTTTATTTTCTTTCAATTCTTTGACTCACAAATTTCACATAGCGTTTTATAATTACGTAATGCATGAACGTGTGTGTGTATATATATATATATATATATATTGATAATTATATGAAAACATATGCAATATATATAAAGGAAGGAAAATATAAATATAGGTGGTTCATGCATAGTGAGAATGTTTTCATGCTTCGTGGTCGTTTCAAATATCTTAATTTATTTTAAAAGAACCTGATTGGCAGAAAATAAAAGAGCCTTTGAATTTGTAGAAAATCCTTCCCTAAAAGCCAAAATTGCATCTCTAATGCATTGTATTACGTTCAACAAAGAAAAATTAAATTGAATTAATAGCATGTAAACCAATTAAATAAAATAATAACTTAATCATAAAAAGAATGATTAAAACGTACCCTAATTGAAGAATAAAAGCTCTTTAACGCAGCGTCAAAAGCGTGCTGATAACGTGTTATAGGCCTAATTTACTAAATCATATAAATTACAGATAGAGGGGGTGTGTCATAGTAGAGGGAAATGGTGAGATGCATAATTGTAAGGTGTGTATTATCTTACCCCATTGTGTCTTTATTTATAATGGTAGGAAAGATCAAATCCTTACCCTAATATGATTACAACTCTAATAAGATAATATCTAGCCTAAGAGATATGACAGAATTCCACAAGGATATCCAGATATGATAAAATTTAAACAATTACATTCCTAATCTAATAGGATTACATATTTTTCGTTTTAGAAAAGAAAATTTAGTTTTCAACAAAAAAACATATTTATATATTCTACCTTTCGACAAAACAAAAATGTTTTTTTTTTTTTTTTTGAGAAAATATTTATATTTTCTTTAAACGGAGGTAAGAAAATAAGGTGAATTTCGTGGCGGCCCTGTCTGCGAGCGAAGGATACGGAAGTTTAACTTGGCGGCCCAGTTCGTTACCCGACTTTATTCTCGGGTTCGAGTCGAGTAATTTTAAACCGCTTTCGACAAATCCCTAATTTTTTTGATTCCGGGTTAGTCCGACCCAATCAGAGCTTCTTCTTCTTCTCTCTCTCTCTCCTGTGAGGAATGGGTTACAGCGACGATGCAGAAGAGCTTTTGAAGCGGAGACCGAGGAAGATGGCGTATCTCGGAAACCCATCTCGCAGGGTCAGTTATTCCGTTTTCAACTCTCCATTTAACTTTACTGCAATTTGTTACTTTTGCTGAGAAATTGATTGGATTTTTCGATTTCTTACTTCATATTTTATATGAATTCCTTCACCATTTCTGTTAAATAATGCAGCAATTTGAATCGCAGAGGACGTTCCTATACCCTAATGGGAGAAATGGTAACAGTTATTATCTCTTTTAATTTTTTTTGCAGTGTGTTATTTTTAAATTTCAATTTTTTTTTAGTTAATTGTGTTAGATCAACACCGGCACTGGAAAATCAATCTCACCGGTAGCTAGGTAGTATGGAAATGGCGAGAGGACAAAGAGAAAGGGAGCAAAGGAATATTCTATTAATTTCCAAATCTGCCTGTTACAATCAACTCGGGAGCATGTATATCCCACATGCTGCATAATCCCCAATACAAGAATGCCACCTGGACGCTACTATTAGTAATTTCTAAAACCTCTAATAACTCTTGACTCGTTACAATTGAACCCCCCATGCTTAACTCCTTACAATTACCCTTAACTACCTTACAATTTAACCCTTACTGTTATTAGCTAAAACCTCTTTGTGATTAAGGCAATCACAACCAGTTCATAACAATACCTTCCCCTTATAAAACCTTGTCCTCAAGGTTTGCTCAGAGTTGAAATGTAGGGTATTTAGCCTTGAACTCATCAAAATCTTCCCAAGTAGCCTCTGATTCCTCTTGATCCTGCCACTTCACTAACAACTGGACCCCTGCAACATTGCCTTTCTTATAAATTCTTCTTGCCAACACTGCTACTGGTGTGTTTCCTGCTAACCCATCTTCGACCACCTGAGGTAGGACATTCTGAGGCATCACATTACTCCCTAATTGTTTCATCAAATGACTTACGTGGAACACAGGGTGGATTTTCGTGTTAGATGGCAGATTCAGTTTATAGGCTACCTTACCAATCTTCTCACAAATCTCATAAGGCCCATAGTACCTTGGTTCAAATTGCCTCTCAGTTCTGTTTTTATCATGTTGCACCTTCATGCAATTCTGCGCCATCTCCAGGTTGTTTTTTAAGATAGAGGTCTTATCCCTTTCCAAGAGGCTTTGTTCAACTGTTTCCACCCTTGCAGTACCAAATTCATAGGGTAGAATTTGGGGTGGTGGGTAGCCGTAGACTAACTCAAAGGGTGTGAACTTGGCTGATGAACGGTAAGAAGTGTTGAAGCACCATTCAGGCCACGGAAGCCACTGAACCCATCTCCTTGGTTGTCCTCCAACAAAACATCTCAAATAGGTTTCAAGGCACCTGTTCATCACTTCCGTTTGCCCATCACTTTGGGGATGGTAGCCCGAGCTCATACACAGTTTTGACCCCTGTAGTTTGAACAATTCCCTCCAAAAAGCACTTACAAAGATGGGATCTCTATCACTGACCACTGAACTTGGTACACCATGTAGTTTGAGGACATTATCAACAAAGGCCTGTGCTACTGTGATTGCAGTGTAAGGATGAGCCATAGCTATGAAATGAGCACTCTTGGATAATCTGTCAACTACCACTAATATCACCGATTTACCCTTGCATAGAGGTAACCCCACTATGAAATCCATGCTGATGTCTGTCCAAATTCTTTGAGGAATTGGCAAAGGTTGCAGCAATCCTGGTGGGGCAATGGTCTCCACTTTGTTTTGTTGGCACACTTGACAATTTGCTACATAGTTCTGAATATCTTTCTTCATTCCTTGCCAATAGAAGCTCCTCTTGACCCTGTAGTATGTTTTTAGGACCCCTTGATGACCAGCAGATGGAGTACAGTGGTGCTCTTCTAGGATCTTTCTTCTCACTCAGAGTGAGGGCTTAACACCACCCTCTTCTTGTAAAGCAACAAACCATTATTGACAGTGTACTGTCCCAAAGTAGATCCTCCTGTGCCATTCATTGCAAATTCAACCACTTCTTTTTTCTTTGCTGCAATCCACTCATCTCGTTCAGTACTTCTTCTTAAGTCATCTATCCAACCATTGTAAGGGTAAGAAATGGCATTGCATTCCCCCATGAATCGAGGAATAAGTTCATGTAATTGAGTCACTCCATGTAATCGAGACAATGAATCTGCAGCTGCATTTTGGGATCCACTTTTGAATTGGATTTCATAATCATACCCCAGTAACTTGGAAACCCATTTCTGTTGAAATGCAGTGTTAGCTCTTTGATGCAGGAAGTATTTAAGACTGCTATGATCAGTCTTGATTATGAAATGCCTTCCTTGCAAATAATTCTGCCATTTCTTCACTGCAGAAACCACGACAATCAACTCTCTCTCATAAGTGGAGAGTCCTTGATTCCTTGGACCAAGTGATTGGCTGGAAAAAGCAATAGGCCGTCCACCTTGTTGCAATACAACTCCAATACCACAACCAGAAGCATCACATTCCACTTCAAATGGTTTCGAAAAATCTGGTAAAGCCAAAACTTGTGGAGAAATCATGGCGACCTTAAGCTTGTCAAAGGCTTGCTGAGTTTCTGCAGTCCAATGGAACCCATCCTTCTTTGTCAACCGATATAAAGGCTGGCAAATTTTGCCATAGCCCGGGACAAACTTCCTATAGTAGCCTGTTAAACCCAAGAAGCCCCTCAAGTCCTTGACAATTTGTGGTGCAGGCCAGTTTTGTATAACTTGGATTTTTCTAGGGTCAGGTGCCACTCCTTCTCAAGATACAACATGTCCCAAATACTCCACCCTATTTTGTCCAAATGAACATTTGGATTTCTTGAGAAAGAGTTGATTGGCCTGGAAAAGCTCAAACACTGTTTTCAAGTGGGCTAAATGAGCCTCCCAGGTCTTACTATAAATGAGGATGTCATCAAAGAAGACTAACACAAATTTCCTCAAATGAGGCTTAAACCCATCGTTCATCAAACTTTGAAATGTAGCAGGAGCATGTGTAAGCCCAAAAGGCATGACTAGGAACTCATAGTGGCCCTCATGAGTCCTAAATGCAGTTTTTTCAATGTCTCCAGGTTGCATTAATATCTGGTGATATCCAGAGTGCAAGTCCAACTTAGAGAAATAGAGGGATCCATGCAATTCATCCAACAGATCATCAATAAGGGGTATGGGGTACTTATCCTTAATAGTGAGGGCATTAAGCTCCCTATAGTCAATGCACATTCGCCAAATGCCATCCTTCTTCTTCACTAATAGCACAGGAAAAGAGAATGGACTATGGCTTTGCCTTATGAAACCGGCCTCGAGTAGCTCTTGAACTGCCTTTTCGATTTCGGTTTTTTGCAATGGTCCATAGTGGTATGGTCGAATGCTTGGTGGTTTTGCTCCTTGCAGGAGGGGAATGTGATTATCATGGTTTCGTTGTGGAGGTAGCTTAGTAGGCACAGCAAAAATAGCCTCGAAGTCATGCAATAGATGCTGCAATTCCTGCAACTAGATTGAACTCCAAGTCACAGGATTCTAACCTCTCCTTTTCCATGGAGTACAAGAACAACCCCAAATGAGAGTTAGTTAACTCTTTTTCAAGCTGATGGAATGAGACTTCGTGAATGCTTGAGGCACTGGAGGAATTGGAATGATGGGACAACTTATAAGTATGGTGGTTTTTGGTGAACTCCATAGTAAGGAGCTGGAAATCCCATAACACAAGACTTGGAAAGCCACTGCACCCCTAAAACCACATCACACCCACCCAGTGGCAGGGAATACAAATATGTAGAACAATGATACCCGGCTAAAGTCAACTCCATAGCCTTGCAACACCCAGAACTTGTAACCTTCCCACCATCTGCGATCATGACTTCAAAAGACCTGGTGGTGTGAGCTTGCCATCCACAATGTTTTAATAGTTTGGAATCAACAAAAGTTGTGAGAACTACCCGAATCGAGTAAGATCTTCACGATGTGGCCATTAACTTGACCAAGCACCTTCATAGTTTGAGCTATAGGACCTCCATTTGTGCCATAAAAAGCACATTCACTGAGCTCCATGTTTTGAAATTCAGGTTGATCCTCCCTTATATCGTCTTCTGAAACTTCGGAATCTGACATTTCCATCATGAGCAGTTGCTTAAGGCCGCACTTATGCCCATGGACCCACTTGTCATTGCAGAACCAACATTCACCACGTTCCCTCTTCCGTTGAATCTCAGCAGGAGTCAATTTCTTAATAGCAAGGTTGCTAGTTTTAGGCATAGTATGGGAAAAAGGGGTGAGGGTGGTAGATGAGGGTTTAGAAGATGGAAAAGGCCGAGGCGGAGGTAATTTCAACTCAGTGAGTTTTGAATCAAGTTGCACTGCAATGGCAATAGCCTCATGCACATTTGCAGGTTTCAACAATTTAACATCGTAGCGCAGTTCCTTTTTTAACCCCCCGAGAAAGCAACTACGTAATAAAAGAGGACTAATCTCCAATTATTGAGTAGCCAAACGGCGAAATTCGGCGATGTAATCACGAAAGTACCTGTGTGTCGAAGTTTGAAGAGAGCCTCAGCACTGTCATCAAATTCAGAGGGTCCAAACTCACGACAAAGAGCTTGGGTAAACTCCGGCCAAGTGGGTGTGGTGTTGGTACAGTCCATCCAGCGAAACCAGTGAAGAAGCTCCCCCTCAAAATGGAAGGAAGCAGTGTGAACACGGTGAGCGTCCGGGATCCCGTAGAAGGCAAAAAACTGCTCCGCTTTGTAGATCCAAGCAATGAGATCGTCGCCTTCAGTGAAACAGGGAAATTCGAGCCGCTATTGCCAAGGCGGTCGGGGAGGCTGGTTGCCAGGACTGCGAGGTGGCTGAAGTTGTGCCAGATCTGGATGAGCAAGGAAATCGGAAGGGGGTGGGTGAGAGGACCCTTCACCCTCCCGACGACTGGGCAATTCATGGTGGAGCTCATGACGGAACTGCTCAAAATATGCTGGAAGACGTGCGTCAAGCCGAGAGGAGAATTGATCATCCAGAGCGGATTTCACCGCCTCACGAATGAGGGATGGAAATTCAGCTTCGAAAGCGGCAAATCGAGCCTCCATGGTGTTGGAACGAGTGTTTGGTTTAGGACGGGGCATACACGGAAGAGAAAATCCAGGATCGAAGGGTGATACCAATGTTAGATCAACACCGGCACTGGAAAATCAATCTCACCGGTAGCTAGGTAGTATGGAAATGGCGAGAGGACAAAGAGAAGGGGAGCAAAGGAATATTCTATTAATTTCCAAATCTGCCTGTTACAATCAACTCGGGAGCATGTATATCCCACATGCTGCATGATCCCCAATACAAGAATGCCACCTGGACACTACTATTAGTAATTTCTAAAACCTCTAATAACTCTTGGCTCGTTACAATTGAACCCCCCATGCTTAACTCCTTACAATTACCCTTAACTACCTTACAATTTAACCCTTACTGTTATTAGCTAAAACCTCTTTGTGATTAAGGCAATCACAACCAGTTCATAACAAATTGAAGTGTTTTTTTTTGTGATTGGCACAGTAAAATTGTTGTTACTTATTAGTGCTTTGGTGTTTTGTATGTTTTTGTCACAAAGTTTATACTTTTGTGGTGTTTGTAACAGAGTTATATGCAAGACGAAGATATTTCGTTAGACGCCATACGAGCTTGATGTAAGCAACATTTTTCGTATTCATATTTATTTGTCCTTGTTCTTTTATACAAATGTTCACAAGAATTGTTGCTTGTTGTGAAACCATCGAAGCTTTTCTTGTGCTTGACAGGGACAAATGTTCTCAAAAGGCATAGCGAGTTAGCAGAGCGTCTTTCTAGGTAAAGTATTCGTGGAGCAATTGTTAAGTCTTTATTCACCATGTTTTTGGTTATTTTGAGATCATAGTATAATTTTATGGAACTGTTCTCGCTTTCAAATATTATGGAGTGCTTGTATTTTGAGAAATAATTTTGAGTGACTTCAAATACAAGGCCTTTTTGGCGACGCTCCTTTAGGCTCAATGATACATGGTTTTTTGTAAACTTTGTTTCCTTTGTTTTCCTTCTCTCTCTCATACCTGCTTTCCTAGAGCTTCACTTACTAAATCGTATTTGGAGAGTATGTGTGCAACGAAATAGGAAAAAGGAATATCATCAAAGAGTGGAAGAAGGAAGTAACAAATCTACCTAGAATTCTTATTGTATGTCTATGTTTATAAATGCAGGCATTTTAGATGCTTTGGCCTCACCCAAATGGAGTTCAGTTGTCCCTTGATTATCTAAAAAATGTGCGTAGCATTGTTTCTTCATATCTTTCCATTTTGAGTGTATTTGATTGTGATTCATATGTCAGTGAATTTCCGAATAACCTTCCGAAAAAGACTAACAAGTTTTCTGAATAACCTGATGGTGTCCTATGCCTTTTGTGAATTTGGGACAATGAGATACTTGTGGATTCTGGAATTGGTAATTCAATTTTGTGTTCTTGAAATATCCAGAAGAATTTGTCTAGTATAATAAAATGGTAGGTATGAATATGATGAATGATACGTGATTTTAAGCACCCATTTGGGCCATTTCAAACTTGAATAAAAAATTTCAGCCTTCTGGATATTATAAAAAACCCGCATTATGGTTGTAGGGCTTCTTGTGATTAAATGTTAAAGATGTCTTAACTGACTTTGTAGTAAAGGGGTTGTCTAATCTTTTTACAAATAGGTTTAGTACTATTTATCTTGTATGTGTGAGGATATATGTGCATACATATATATGCAGACACATGCATACGTACATACATGCTTACACATTAAATACACCAGTGAAAATAAAATACTCGGCAAGTGCACTTTTCTTTGTTTATTTATTTATGAAAATGTGGATATGCGCCTTAATAAAATATCTAAGCATTTGAAGACGATTTTATGTATGTGCCCGAGTGCCTCCAAAGAAAAAGGAGCCCTTGTTCAGCATTATTCCAGTTAGACTACTGTAATTGTACATTGCAGAGCACCTTTTATTTTCATGTATTTGGCGTGTATATCTTGGTCATGCATTTTCTGCTAATTGTGCTGTTGTGCTTCACACCTTGTATTTCAGTATGTGTTTGGTTTGTGTATCTTGGTCATGCCTGTAAATATGTTGATACATAACAGAAATAGTATCATAATTGTTGATGGACTTGTATATTACTACTACTAATGCCTTTATGATTCTATTGTTTTAACAGGGATGCCAACAAGATAATTTATGAGCGTCTACAGAAGGAATTTGAAGATGCACGGGCTTCACAAACTCAAGGTATCTTTGAAAAAGTGTTGCGTTTAATGCTTCATTTCAATTGTAATTTTAATCAGTAGAATCTAGCTTTGCATCATGTCAAGTTACTTTATCTTTTCCTCACGGGTTTCTAAGGCACATCTGTGGTGTACTGGTGTGATACCTCAAGTCCCTCATCATTTGTGCACTGTGGATCTTTGGTACATACATGTCTAAGGAACCCAACCACTATCGGGTTGTGGTATTTTATGTTAACCAAAAGCCTGTCATGGCTAACTGTGTGAATGTGATTGGACCTTCTCTTGATGAGGATACCGGTGACTAAAGGGGAAGACTGTCATGTCCCCAGTCCCACAAGGGACAAATTAGTTTGCTGTCTTGATGGCTCACCTGTGTTGGAACTACTGTATTGCTCAAAGTTATGGTTCTAATGGATAACTTAAGCTTAATTTATAATTAACTGATGTGATATTAAGCTAGAATTAAACAATATAACTCATCGAATATTCTGAATGTTTTTTTTCCAAGTTTTCCTATTCATTAAGGAGTTGTGTTAGGGACGAAGCCAGGATTTAATTTCGGGTAGGGCTACAACTCAAAAGAATTAATTTTTTATTTCCAGCAGCATTTAAACCAAAAAATTAAATCTATAGAGCAACTCCAATAAATTACACTTGACAACAATTCAGTTTTAATCAATGTTTTAAAATGCAGGTGAAAAGCAATGCTTTTAATGTTTTCGAAGGTGAGGCGCAAGTCTTGACCCGTCGAAGCGTAACCCTTTTGAGTAAAAAAGGTCGTACCCAGTGCACAAGGCTCCCGCTTTACGCAGGGTCTGGGAAAGGTGAATGTCGGCTAGCCTTACCCCCATTTATGGAGAGGCTGCTCCCAAGTCTCGAACCCAAGACCTACCGCTTATGGACGAAGGCACTTGCCAAGCGTAACCCTTTTGAGTATTGAGTAAAAAATAAATATATACAGAAGAATGAAAATGAACTACTTATTGTCAACCAAGCATATTAATCAACCCCCAAACTCTTCTTCCTTTACACTTTCTTGTTTTTTTATATTATGATAACTGAGAAAAGATGAGAGAGCTTGTGTCTATTGGGTTGTTTTGGGACGTGGTCTTCTATTTTGCATTTATATGATGAATGGTTGGCTGGATTTCTTAAAATTAAAACGATGTTACGCTGGTGTAGACTTCTCATACATTGGTTGAAAGCACAATTAATTAGTAAGGTGGGCTATTGCATGATTTTCGGCTTGGCTTCCTACAACTAACTTGTGCTACAGCCCAATGGGGCCTTCACATGGGTCCATCCCTGAGTTGTGTATTGTTTGGGTTAACTTATGAGAAGACTTTGGTTTATCTTCTGGTTTGATTAAGAATTGAAATATATCTTTTGTAGAGAATTATTTGGAAGGTGAACGATGGACTACTGGCTACAATAAGAGAGCGGGTATGGTTCCTTTCAATACTAAAGTGATTGAGATTTACTGTGGGTTTAAACTTTTGATGTTAGAATTTGCCTTTATTTCAATCACTCAAATTACCCCAAGAATTACGTATAAAATCGGAAATAAGGTAATTTGAGAAGTTTGTTTCAATCAGTAACAGGAGGATCCTCCCTATGCCAGCAAAGTAGTTTTTCTGGTCAAAGAATAACTCTGCATTGTTGTCCACTCATTCCTGATAATTTAATAATTTCTTGTAGATACAACAACAACAACAACAAAGCCTTTTCTCACTAAGTAGGGTCGGCTATATGAATCCTAGAAAGCCATTGCGCTCGGTTCTGTGTTATGTCCTCCGTTAGATCCAAGTACTCTTAAGTCTTTTCTTAGGGTCTCTTCCAAAGTTTTCCTAGGTCTTCCTTTACCTCTTCGGCCCTGAACCTCTGTCCCGTAGTCACATCTTTGAACCGGAGCGTCAATAGGCTTTCTTTGCACATGATTAATAATTTCTTGTAGATGCAGTTTCTAATTAAGAGTGAACATAAATACAAACATTGATGCCAGGATTCAAGATTATTTGGTTATAGATGTAGCATATACATATGGTAATCTTGATTTCATAAACTTATTGAGTATTGTTTTGGTGAGAAGTTTCCTGAATATTGGTTTAATCTGTGGGCAGGTGACTTCTTGTTTGGAAGGCGCAAGAATTGGCAAACTCTATGAGATATCTTATGCTGGTATGCTGTGAAGTAATTGATTTTCAATTAGTTAGTATCTTATGTGTCTTGTATGGTATCATGTCATTTGACTCATTTTTCTATCTAAAAAAAGGTCATGTTCTATCTGCCGTCACTGTCTGCCGTGTGAAATATTCCATAAGCAAACTGAAGGTTAATAGTTGATAATTGTTCAAGATTGGTGTAGCAGTTGGATCAGCCTCCAATATGTAACACATTGAACAATATAGGTTACAGAAAAATACATTTTTGGGGAATAAATATGTGCTATAAGGCTGTAACGCAGTCAATCACTTTGGCCTTTAGCGGTGGGGATGCTGACTTATCTGTATCTGCAATGACGCAGGAGAAACTTGTGACTTATACCATTGTGTGCTTGAGAGTAAGTCATTTCTTGAGAAGATGACAGTTCTTGAACACACCATTCCGTACTTTTTGCCGATACGAGAAGTGGAAAATGGTCTTCTTTCCTCCAATGCTATGGTATGATTGGGTTCGTGCATTGGCCTTGCTGACTCAATATTGTAGTACCTGTTCTGATTATTTATCCTTGATGTGCTTTCAGAAACTTATAGATTACATTGGTGAGATTTTACAGGCTTATGTGGACAGAAGGGAACAAGTATGCTGCTGGCTTATGTAAACAAAAATGAATTTGTATTTACTAAAATATGGTTGGGTTAAATGCCTTTTTGCCAAATGTTGAAGAGCTAAATATATGCTTGCCAAGGAGTTATATGGGATTCAGATCAAAGAAATTCATTTTACCCTTCCCTACAGCTTAATTGTCTTTTCCAAACTTGATTTTGATTTGTTGGTGCTTTTGTTCCCCTGCATAGACTCTGTTTTTGGATATTTATGTATCAGTGGAATAATATTTTGATGTGCTAAACATCTTCGTAACTATATGTCAGCGTATTCATATTCCTTGCCGGTCCCTTTTAGAGTTCTTGTATGAGTTTGTGTGGTTGAGTGTCATATGGGTAGCAGGCATGATTATATATCCTTAAAAGTAAATGTGTTTCCATCATCCTGAAGAACGTTATTTTCCTTTTGCAGTAAGGTTGTTGTGAAGCTTAAATATGCAGAGCTTGTTCCCGTGCTTTCAAATCATGTCAGTGTGGTAGCATGGCCAGTGTGTCAACCCAGAAAAAGCAGTCCAAATATATCATCCATGAACAAAAAGGAAAACGGAACATTGGAAGGTCCAACTACCCTCTTCTATGCAGAGGATGCCTTGCGAACTATGAGCTTAACGAAAGGTATTCTTTCTGGTTGGTGACCTTTTTACTTGCTTACTGCTGCCAGTATAAGTGAGATTTAAAACCTTGATGAACTTCCCTCAACACTATGACCTGATGATACTCGGCATATTCTGATTAATTTTTTGGCCTAGGATTACGTTTGAGATATAACAAAACCAAACCGTTGCAACTTTAATTCTAATTTACCTCTGTTCTCCCCACAATATCCTCGCCATCTCACCACCTGTCTGATTCTCATGAACTACTGAACAGGGCCGGTCCTAAGGCCCTCGGCGAAAATTTAAATGATATACCATTTATAGACTTATTTTAGGAGTCCCCCAAGTCTTCATTGCTATCTTGTTGTTCTGAACCTCTAGCTCATCGACTTTAGCTTGAAGAGTAACTCTATTTCCTTCCTGCTTTCGTTGCTTCATACTAGGTCCAGCGGGGGTGTCATTCTGTGTGCTGTGGCTTCACAACCTTACTGCAAAAGTTTTCAAGTGAAGCATCGTATAGTTTGAGCAATCTCCTCTTCATTTCATTTTTCGTTTTTTCTTTCTTTTCAGATTTGTAGACTTATTTCTGAAGAAGCTTCATTTAATTTCTATACTAGACCCAAAAGCAATACTAGCAAAGAGAGCAATAAAACTTCCACAAAGAAATAATTTAACTAATTAGTAGGGGTTTGGAAAAAAAAAAGAAAAAAAAAAGAAAAAGAAACTAATTATATTTAATAGGTAAAGTCTAAAGTGAAAACCTGAAATTTTAAAACTTATCTTCAACTTGAAACTTCCGCAAAGTCCGGCTACAATGCTTATAAACTCAATCAATTATAATAATTTCCACAGTGCAATCATTAATACAATGAATAAGTTAAATAATAAACTCAATTATTGCTCCACTATTGAAATTAGCTTACAAAATTGAATGCTAAAAGGAGTGTCTGATTGAAAAAAGTCCCTTGCAGACAGAAGAGCGTGTATCTGAATAAACTAGTTAGTTGTCATTGAGAATGGACTTGCAGATGAGAAAGCGCGTGCAAAAAAATTAGTTATTGGTTATTGAAAATGCAGTTGAAGAAGGAAAACCAAGAGTGGAGTTAAAGAAGGAAACCGGGTGGGAAACACTTGTATAAGAGAGAGTGCGGGCGAAAAAACTAGTTATTTGTTATCGAGAATGCAGTTAAAGAAGGAAAAGTGGGTGGGAAACACTAACGAGTGGCGGAGCCCAAAAAATGCATCTTGTGAATTACTTTTTTCGTTTTTTGAAAATTTGGGACGTTTTTGCCTTGATCTTGAGCTTGTTTGGACGTACTTTTAAAATGACTGAAAATGTTTTTGTTAAAAATGTTTTTAGAATCAATCTTTAGTAAAAATACAAGTAAATCTTGGAAAAATACTTAAAATGCTTCCTAGAAGAAGCACATAATTGGTGCTTCTTGCAGAAAGCATTTCAAGTGCTTTTTGAATCTAAAATCATCTTCTCTAAAAACGCTTTTCTTTTGCTAAAATACAAATTAAATTAATAAGCTCCATTATTGCTCCACTACTGAAGCTAGCTTACGAAATTGAATATGAAAAGGAGTGTGTGATTGAAAAAGCCTTGCACATGAGAGAGCGAGCACATGAGGATAAATTAGTTATTAGTCATATAGAATGCATTTGTATATGAGAAAGCGTGTGCCAAAAAAAAAAAAAAAAACTAATTATTAGTTATCGAGAATGCAGTCAAGGAAAAATTAATTATTACACATCGGAAATGCACTTGTATATAAAAGAGCATGTATGAAAAAAAAACTAGTTATTAGTTATCGAGAACGCATTTAAAGAAGGAAAAATAGGTGAGAAACACTGGAGAGTGGTGGGGGCCCATAAAATGCTTCGTTTGAATTACTTTTTTAGTTATTTGAAAATTTGAAACGTCTTTGCCATGATTTTGTCCACAAGGGAAAAACACTTTTCTTTTGGGCTTATTTTTAACGTCACTTGAAACTCGATTTTAATCTCACTTTGTCCCATTGTAACTCAAAAATCATTATTTTACTTTTCGAAACTCAAAATTTCGTCGACTTTGCACCCTAAAACTTGATTTTGGATCCCATTTTGCTCCTTACAAGTCAAAAGTTGTCATTTTACCCTATAAAACTCAAAGTTCATTCCACATTACCTTAATTATGTTAATTTTATTATGTGGGATGTTAACGCTAGTGGTGATTTATAATATTTTCTGTTAATTTCGTCATTTTACTCTATAGATTTTTGGATTGTTGGATGTTGACACGTTATTTCATTGGCACATGCTCTTATTAAATGGTGGGTTCCACAAATGTTTAAGGGTCGACATTTGAATTTTAGGGAGAAGAGAGAGTCCACAAGTCAAGTGGAAAGAATTTTGAGAGTAAAATGGTGATTTTGAGTTACAAAGATAAAGTGAGATCATAATTAAATTTTAGAGAGCGTAGCTAAAAATAAGTATTTCATTTGATCAAATATAAAATTAAATTAATAAACTCCATTATTGCTCCACCATTGAAATTAGCTTACAAAATTCAACGTTAAAAGAAGCGTGTGATTGAAAAAACCCCTTGCACGTGAGAGAGCGAGGGCGCGTGCAGAGAAATTAGTTTTTGATCAGCACTGTGGAAGTTATTATAATGGCCTAATTGGATTAATAGTCTTTGTTGTGATAGGGTAGTTGGAAGATAGCTCATGTGGTAGAAGAACTAGGGTTTAAGCTCTTGGTAAAGTCTATTAGGATTTATGCCCAAAATTGAAAATTTCGTCAACTTTCTGTTAATTATTAGCATGTGAGCCGCACATATTAGGTTAAAACAGAACTTTCCATACACATATGACGCTAAACACAGGCTGACTCACGTGTTAATAATTAATAGAAAGTTGACAAAATTTTCAATTTTAGGCATAAATCCTAACAGACTTTACCACATAGGCTTAAATCCTAATTTTTTATTTATCACAAAGTTATCTTCCAACTACCCTATCATCTTGAGAACTATTAATCCAATTAAGCCTAGTATAGTTGATCGAGTTTATAAGCATTCTAATCCGATCCAACCTAATGATCGCATTATGGAGGTTTCAAGCTGAAGAAAAGTTTTAAATTTTCATGCTTCTTTTTCTATTTCTTTTTTTTTTCTCTTTCAAATCCCTATTAATTAGTTAAATTATTTCGTTGTGGAAGTTTTGTTGTCCGCTTTATTGGTATTGCTTTTGGGTCTAGTATAGAAATTAAATGAAGTTTCTTAAAAAATAAGTCTGCAAATCGAAAAAAAAAAGAAAAAAGAAATGAAGAGGAGATTGCGTCACTTGAATTTTTTTTTTACAACTTCTATCAATTCTATAAATGGTGTATCATTTACATTTTGCCCGAGGCCTTAGGACTGGCCCTGTTTAATAGTTCATGAGAACTAGAAGGGCCGATGGTGCGAAGACGATGATATTATGGGGAGAACGGAGGTAAATTAGAATGTAAGAAGCTATCAAAGTCTAAATGACCTTGATTAAGATGATGGTACAATTCAGATGGATCAAGACAGCAAAATACAAATTTCTAGTGGCAATGAGCAGGTGAACCTCAAATATACAAATTGCCGAAATTGAATATATTCCTACTTTCTAGTGGCAATGTGTAGGGATGAGTTTTACTTTGCTTTTGCTACTAAGACTGGGTCATAGTGTTTTTTCGTTTGTCATTTTCTTAGGGGCATTGCTTTACAGTTAAAAAGTTTAATTTAATTTTGTATTTGAGCGCAAAAAAAGTGCTTTTTCCAGACAAAATCATCGCATAGACGTCCCTAATTTTCAAAAGACGAACAAAGTAATTCAGACGACACGTTTTATGGGCTCCACCACTCTTCAATGCTTTTCCCCTATTGAAAAAGGCCACTTGCAGGTGAAGAAAATGTGTGCAGATAAACTAGTTGTTAGTTATTGATAGTGCACTTGCATATGAGAGAGTGCGTGAAGAAAAACTAGTTATTAGTTATCGAAAATGCACTTGAGGAAAGGAAAGTTCGTGGGAAACACTGGCAAGTGGCGGAGCCCATAAAACGTATTGTTTGAATGACTTTTTTCGTCTTTTGAAAATTTGGGATGTGCCATGATTTTGTCCACAAGGGAAAAACACTTTTCTTTTGTTTGAATTACTTTTTTCGTTTTTGAATAAGTTAAATGATAAACTCAATTATTGTTCCACTACTGAAATTAGGTTACAAAATTCAACGTTAAAAGGAGCATGTGACTGAAAAAAGTCCCTTGTAGATTAAGAGCGTGCGCGTGAGGAAATTAGTTATTTGTTATTGAAAATGGACTTGCAGATGAGAAAGAGCGAGCTAATATATTAGTTATTGGTTATCGCGAATGAAGTTGAAGAAGGAAAACCAAGAATGCAGTTAAAGAAGGACAAGCGAGTGGGAAACAAGGGTAATGCTAGTGAAGAAAAATTATTAGTTATCGAGAATGCATTTGAAGAAAAATTAATTATTAGTCATCGAGAATGAACTTGTATACGAGAAAGCGTGTGCAAAAAAACTAATTATTAGTTATCGAAAATCAGTTAAAGAAGGAAAAGTATGTATCCGACCCAAAAAAAAAGAAGGAAAACTAAGTGGGGAACACTGGAGAGTGGCGGAGCCCATAAAACGCGTCGTCTTTTTGAAAATTTGTGACGACTTTGCCATGATTTTTATCCACAATGGAAAAATACTTTTCTTTTGCTCAAATGCAAAATTAAATTAAACTTTTTAGCTGTAAAGCAATGCCCCTAACAACATCTCTAACCTTTGGCTTAAAAGTCAAATTTAGCCCGGGAGAAAAGCTGGTGTATTTGATTCAGAAATAACATTTGTTATTTAGCCTAAAATTTTAATATGGATTAAAGAATGTTTGGAGGTAATTTGGTTTTTAACCCAGGTTTGAAGATGATCTAAGCAAAAGAAAAACACTATGAAGTCATCTTTTAGTAGCAAAAGCAGAGTAAAACTCATCCCTGCACACCAAACTCTTCATCTTTCACATTCCGATCCGACGACGACACAGTTGTGACCATGGCTGAGTTGCCGGCCGGAGCTTTTCTCTCTTCTTTCCTCTCTGTTTTGTTTGACCGGATGGATCGCATTTTCCCTCAGTCAGAAAAACTAACCACACTCTTTAATTAAAAATAAAAATAAAAATAAATATTAGTTAAAAATCTAGATGGTCAATGATTGAAGTGGCAAAGTCATTTTTCAATCAAGAATGGTAGTTGGATTGTATTCTCTATCCCAGCAGGTAAAAGTGTCGTCCCAAAAAAAGTTCAGGTAAAAGTTAAAAATCTCCAACTGGCCGACCCCATAAACGACCTCGTTGCATTTTCCCACTTTAATATTTTAGCATCAAAACAAAACTCATTGAAAAATCCCATGTGGAAAAAGTTGACGGATATCTGAACGATCTGAAAGCTCTGAACTAGTTGCAAAGCGTCATTCAAGCAAAACTAGCTCATCCCCACATTCCAAACTCTTTCTTCATCCTTCAGATTCCTATCCGACGACGACTCAGTTGTGATCATGGCTGAGTTGGTGGGCGGAGCTTTTCTCTCTTCTTTCCTCAATGTTTTGTTCGACCGGATGGCTTCCCGTCCCTTCCTCGATTTCATCTCTGGGAAGAAAAACGACAACGAGCTGCTCATGAGGAAGTTGAAGATCAAGTTGCTCGCTGCTAACAAGCTGGTTGACGATGCGGAGGAGAAGCAGATGACAGACCGGACCGTGAGGGACTGGCTCGACGATCTCAAAGATGCTATCTACTGTGTAGGAGAGTTGCTGGACGAGATCAACACTGAAGCTCTTCGACGCCAGCTGGAAGGTGACCATGACCATTCTCCCACAGCTAGCAGCAGCACAAGCTGGATCATGAGATCAGTATTTAAGTCTTCTTTTCCGTCCGATGAATTTCACAACTCTCTTGAACCGAAGATATCAAACATTCTGGGGGTGTTAGACCTCATTCTCAATGAAAGAGATGCTCTTGGTCTGAAAGAAGGAGTTCAACATAGACCACAAGACACAACTCGTCAAACTACTTCTCGGGTCGATGAGTCTGGCGTCTTCGGAAGGGAAAAAGACAGAGAAACGATTCTTAAAGCATTGCGTTCGGATGATACGACTGGCGCTAAGATAGGAGTTCTTCCCATCGTGGGCATGGGAGGGATCGGGAAGTCCACCCTTGCTCAACTTGTGTACAAAGATGTCAAGGATGACTTTGATGTCCAAGCATGGGTTTTTGTCGGAGTAGAATTTAGTATTCTTCAAATAGCACAAACAATATATGAGAAGATCAGGGATGAAACTTGCAAGATCACAGATCTGGATCGGCTTTCTGGAAAATTGGAGGAGGTTTTGACAGGAAAAAAGTTCCCCTTCGTTCTTGATGATGTCTGGAGTGAGGATCATCTTCTTTGGAAGAACTTGATGACTCACTTCAATAGTTGCGGAGGACATGGAAGTAAGATCATTGTCACAACACGCCTCGGAGGCGTAGCATCTATCACCGGGACTCTTTCAGCACATCATCTGGAGGAGATATCCGAGGACGATTCTTGGTTGTTATTTGCAAAGCAAGCGTTCACAAATGCCAGTGTTGTTGGCGCACATCCGGAGCTTGAAGTCATTGGAAGACAAATTGTTAAGAACTGTCAAGGCCTTCCTTTAGCTATAAAATCATTAGGGGGTCTATTACTTTCTAATTCAAACCCAAAGGAATGGGAAAAGATATTGAAGAGTGACTTATGGAAGTTGTCGAAAGTTAAGGTTTTGCCGGCTTTATGGTTAAGCTACCATTATCTTCCACCACATCTCAAGCGTTGTTTTGCTTATTGTTCGATATTTCCAAAAGGTTACAGATTTTGGAAACGAGAGCTGATTTTATTTTGGATGGCCGAAGACCTCTTACAATCGAACGAGGAGGGCGTATTGGATCCGGAAGAAGTGGGAAGTGATTACTTTGATATTCTATTATCAAGGTCTTTCTTTCAACATTCAAGTAACACATGGGATTTCACCATGCATGACATTATGAATGATTTAGCAAAGTTTGTAGCCGGAGAATTTTGTTTGAGATTGGAGGGAAATCAGCTGCCCAACAAAAATTTGTGCAAAACTCGTCACTTTTCATTCATGAAATTTGGAGGTCATGGCATTCAGAAATTTGAGGCGCTGGATGAGGCTAAGCACTTGCACACCTTTCTACAACTTGAATCCTTCGAACTTGGAGGAGACTGCAATAAGTTGGTATTGAACTACACGCTTGTTGATTTATTACCAAATCTACCATGTTTAAGAGTGCTCAAGTTGTCAAATACTCATATTGATGAGTTGCCTAGCTCAATTGGCAACTTAAAACAATTAAGGCATTTGGACGTGTCGTTCACTTCAATAAGAGAATTACCTGAGACGGTGTGCACCTTGTTATTGGTTGGTTGTCGTAGACTGATTCAACTACCATCCAATTTGGGAAGGCTAATCAACTTGCGCCATCTCAATAATAGTTACACAGATATTGAAAAGATGCCTGCAGGGATGTGTAATTTGAAAAATCTCCAAACATTAAGCCATTTTGTGGTGGACAAACAAACAGCTCAAAGGATAGGAGAGTTAAAAGAGCTTCAGCGTTTGCGCGGAGATCTTACAATCTCAGGAGTTGGTAACATTGACCATGAGGGGAATGCTTTGGAGGCAGATATCATGAGCAACAAGGAGTATCTGGACAAACTTGTTTTGATATGGGGAAGAGATCGACATGCTCACGAAAAGGAATTGGGAGTATATATTTTGAGAGATGGAAGAGGCGATGATGATCATGATCCACAAAATGACAGAGAAGTGCTCAACAAGCTCCAACCTCATACAAACCTCAAACAACTTGAGATTAAATCTTACGGGGGTGTAAGTTTTCCAGGTTGGTTAGGAGATCCATCTTTCTCTAAACTATCTTGTATTAAACTCGTAGATTTCCAACATTGCTGCTTATTGCCACCACTTGGGCAACTACCCTCCCTCAAACAACTTCATGTTCTAGGGATGAATAACGTGGTTGAGATTGGTAGCGAGTTTTATGGTAACGATACTTGTGGGATTACTCCATTTAGATCTCTACAAAAATTGTTCTTGGAAGGTATGTTGGAGTGGGAAAAGTGGTCCTATTACGATGGAAGCAGAGGCAACACCACAATAATGTTTCCTAATCTTCGTGAGCTTGGACTGAAAAATTGTCCCAAGCTGACTGAGATATTACCGTTGGAGAAGCTGCAAAGTCTTGAAAGGGTAGAATTGTGTGGTCTGGAGTCCTTCAGTGGTTCAGTTTCACATGTGGAATCTGAATGCCCTCAATTCCTTTCCCTCGCTCACTTGAAAATGGACAATACCCAAATTTTGTATGTTTTCCAGATGGAGGGATGGATGCGCCCAAATTGAAGGACCTGTACATCAGTGGCTGCAAGAAATTAAGGTCGCTGCCAGAACAAATGCATACCCTTCTACTGTCTCTTCAGAAATTGGAAGTGTTCGACTGTCCAGAAGTGGAATCATATTACGATGGAAGCAGAGGCAACACCACAATACTGTTTCCTAATCTTCGTGAGCTTGTACTGAGCAGATGTCCCAAGCTAACTGAGATAGTACCGTTGGAGAAGCTGCCAAGGCTTGAAAGCGTACAATTAAGGGACCTGGAATCCTTCAATGGTTCACTTGCACATGTGGAATCTGAATGCCCTAAATTCCTCTCCCTCGTTCGCTTGAAAATAGAGATCTGCCCAAATTTTGTATGTTTTCCAGATGGAGGGATGGATGCACCCAAATTGGAGGAGCTGCGTATCTCTCAATGCAAGAAATTGAGGTCACTGCCAGAACAAATGCATATCCTTCTACCGTCTCTTCAACGTTTGAAAGTATTCGGCTGTCCAGAAGTGGAATCATTTCCTCAAGGAGGGTTGCCCTCAAATTTACAAGGCCTTTCTTTTGAGTGTTATAGAAAACTCGCTGCAAACCGCTCACTGTGGGGTTTAACAAGACTCAACTCTCTTAGAAATTTGGAAATCAGTTTCACTGAAGAAGGTGGAGAAGAAACGGGATGTTCGTTTCCGGAAGAGGGTTTGCTGCCCGCCACTCTCACTAGTCTCTCCATCTGCTTTCATCCAAATCTTAGAACCATCCAAGGCAAGGTTTTGAGACAACTCACCTCTCTTGAACACCTCACAATACAAGGATGCCCTGAGCTCCAGGGCTTTCCAGAACAAATGCATACCCTTATACCGTCTCTTCAAAAATTGAGAGTGTTCGGCTGTCCAGAAGTGGAATCATTTCCTCAAGGAGGGTTGCCCTCAAATTTGCAAGACCTTTCTTTTGAGTGTTGTAGAAAACTCGCTGCAAACCGCTCACTGTGGGGTTTAACAAGACTCAACTCTCTTAGAAGGTTGGACATCAGTTTCACTGAAGAAGGTGGAGAAGAAATGGGATGTTCGTTTCCGGAAGAGGGTTTGCTGCCCGCCACTCTCACTAGTCTCTCCATCCGCTTTCTTCCAAATCTTACAACCATCCAAGGCAAGGTTTTGAGACAACTCACCTCTCTTGAAGACCTCACAATACGACGGTGCCCGGAGCTCCAGGGCTTTCCAGAAGAAGCGCCCAAATCTCTGAAAAGCTTGACTATTTGGGAGTGCCCTAATATCGGGTGCTTGCCGGGAGAATGGCTTCCCACATCTCTTTCACTACTGCAAATCTGGACGTGTCCGCTGTTAGAAGAACGATTCCGAAGAGAGACAGGGGAAGATTGGCCAAAGATTTCTCACATCCTCCATAAATATATACATTAGATGTCCTTGAGATTAGTACTTGCCGAACTCTCTCTCTCTCAATCAGGTGTGTGTGTCTATATGTATATATACAAATCATTTGAATGACCCAAAACACTTTAGTTGGGTACTTTTCTGATAGTTATTTTTTTACTGCTATGTTTTTTAGTATGTTTGGTTAGTACTCCAGCTCCAGGCTCATTATCATTGTATGTAAGCTGTCTCGATCCATCCGATTTGTGTGGTCAGTTTAATCAAGAGAGCTTTAATGAAAAGAATTTAAACTAAGTTTAAATTAATCAAAAATCATCTTAAATTATTTTTTAACTAAAAAGCTTCATATTTAATAGGAAGGACAAACTAATTTATATTAGGTCCTACAAACAGTAAAAGACATTGGCTGAATTAAAAAGCCGAACATGCAATTTTTTTTTTTTTACAGCCATGCCCATGACCGAAACTTCATTCTGCCAGCCCAATTCCGTTAGAAATAAATTTTTCTTTATTTACAGGTATGTCACTACCTCATTAAAACCTAAATATCATATGAAAATGAAAATTTTAAAAGTTTCCATGAATTCTCCCATCAGGACGTCCCTGATCGTAGCATTGAGTGATTTGACTCTTAAATAAATACAAAAATAAGCTATTATCATCAATGTTACCTATTTTTAATGTTTTAAATAGGAATGCATCTTAATAATCAAGCAGCGTGAATAAAATCAAATTAATCTTATAGTTCGACTACAAAACAAAACCAGCACATGAAATTAAAATTACATAGTAGCAATATCCCATACAAGTGGCCTTGTTATTTTTTTATTTTTTTTTTATACAAATCAATTTGGAAATCTTATTATTTTCATTCTCATCCTACAATGTTGCACGATGATTTGAACTGTTTATCTTTAGGCCATCATTTAAAAACCATCTCTACAAAAAGCTAAATGCATTCAAAAGTTTTTGCTCATGTAACGATTATTCAATAATTCTTTTGAACACTGAAATTATGACAATATTATTCTAAAATGGTTTGACGATATCTTGTTTGGTTCTTTTGTTGCAAATAATACTAGATAGGGAAGTTTTTTTTGGTAAAAGAAATAAAGGAAATAAAATAGCTGGCATGACATCATACTCACCAATCACGATGTATACGTTCCATACATGTGGGGGTCTTGGCCTCTCATTTTTTCTCTCCCTCACTTACTTACAAATACATGAATGCCCAAATTTTGTATGTTTTCCAGATGGAGGGATGGATGCGCCCAAATTGGAGGAGCTGCTTATCTCTCGATGGAAGAAATTGAGGTCGTTGCCAGAACAAATGCATACCCTTCTACTGTCGCTGTCAATCGTCTCTCCATCTACAATCTTCCGAATCTTACAACCATCCAAGGCAAGGTGTTGAGACAACTCACCTCTCTTGAAAACCTCATAATAGACGGATGCCCTGAGCTCCAGTGCTTTCTTGAAGAAGCCCCCAAGTCTCTAAAAGGCTTGACTATTACGAGATGCCCTAAACTCGGGTGCTTGCCAGGAGAATGGCTTCCCACGTCTCTTTCTTATCTGCAAATCCATTTGTGTCCTCTGCTAGAACAACGATTCCAGAGAGACGGGGGAAGATTGGCCCAAGGTTGCTCACATCCCCGCGTGTATATATTATAGATCTTCTTGAACTTGGCTCTCTCTGTCTCTCTCAGGTGTATGTGTATATCCCTTGTTGTTTTGCCACAAACTCTTCCTAATGCAACAACATAGGGGGGAGCTGGTATAGCCCTTGTTGTTTTGCGATGGAGTAGTACTATGTACATGATTACTAGGCTAAAACAAGTGCAAATTTGATTTCGTTAATTTGTCTATTCGACTATATAACCTTGCTCATTGTCATTGTATGTATCATGCTGTCTCGATCCAGCCGATTTCATTTCATGTTTGATAGGGCCATCAAGTTCAGCTCCTCCTAATACCATTAAGTTCGTCACTGTTTGGTTAATGTCTGGCACCGTGAAGAACAAAAGTGAAGAGTTTCCATTCTGCATTACATGATCCCTGTCAAACTTTAATCATTAGCAGATCCCAATTTCATTCAAAGCACAAAGCTTAAATCCAACTACTACTAAAATAAAACCACATTACCAAAAACTAGAAGGAATCATAAAACCGAAAAAACCCAAGAAATTCGAAGTTTTACGCTTTCAATTTACGAAAAACAAGAACAAGCAGTATAATTTGTCGTGTCTAAAAATCTGGTTTAGACAAATCATCAAACACCTGGTGTACATCGAGCACCCAGTCTCAGAGAAAGGAGAAAGACATAGTTTACTTGGGGGATTGCATGAGGGAAAGCTTGAGTGAGCCGAACCGTAGATTCGCCCATCGAATAGTGCAGACATTAACGGTGAAGTCCAACCCTTCCGCATTGAACCGGGAGGCTTTTGGCACGTCCTTGTGCAGCTGCAGTAGCCACCTAAACGACTCCGCTGCCATTTTTTCCCTTGCTTTCTAGGCTGTGTACTTCTGAGTATGTAAATGGGTCACCCGAACCTAATCCGAACCTAATCCGTTAATCTAACGGGTCATCCAAATCCGACCCGTTAAGCTAACGGGTCACCTGTTTCATCCGTTAACAGTTATTATTATTATTTTTTTTCATAGAGTTTATATTTTGTTGTTAAGATTTTATTGAAATTACTAAAACATCCTCAATTAACAGGTGCTAACGGGTTGACCCAAAGTGACCCGTTATTTAACAGGTTCACCCGTTAACGACCCGACCCGTTAAGCATCCACCCAAATACTAATATTAACGGGTCAGATCGGGTTAACGGGTCGGATCCAAAATGTCAGGTCTACTTCTGACTGAAGGAAACTGACTCACTGGTTGTCGTTTCAACCGTGAGTCGTGACTGATATTAGACGACATGTCGTTTTGAGGGTCTCAAAGTTAAATTGGGGGATTATCTTATGATGCATGGACCCGGATATATATACTCAGCTTATATCGGTCCCACCTCTAAACTTTGGTGATAATTATTGTTATACAGAAAAATTTCTTATTTGGACGTAAATATTAAAGGGAGTTTTAACGAAAAGCTCATGATACTGTTCATTTTAACGAAAAACCACATTTTTACACTAAAAAGTCAAACCTGCTACTATTCACTTTACCCTTTATTTTGTCCTTATCGTTAAAACTCAAATTTTTCAAGTCATTTTTGTTAGTTTTCCTAATATTAAAATTTCATTAGAGGTTGTCATTCAATTGTTACATTTTAGGATGAAAGTTGCGCTTTAGCTTTACTTGACTCCTGTTTTCATAATTTTTTTTCTTTTTCAATTTTTGACCTAATCTTAGACATGATTGCTTCTTTTAGAGTATCAAGAGATTCTACAAGCTTAAGCTTTATGATTGAACTCTCACAGTGTTGGTGATGTCCAACCTTCTAAGAGAGTTGAGTCTTGTTAAACCCCACAGTGGGCGGTTTGCAATGAGTTTTCTACAACACTCAAGACATTGGACAGCCGAATACTCCTAATTCCCTCGTTCACTTGGGAATAGACAACTGCCCAAATTTTTTATGTTTTCCAGATGGAGGGATGGATGCGCCCAAATTGGAGGAGCTGCTTATCTCTTGATGCAAGAAGTTGAGGTCGTTGCCAGAACAAATGCATACCCTTCTACAGTCTCTTCAGAAATTAGGAGTATTCGGCTGTCCGGAAGTGGAATCATTTCCTCATGGAGGGTTGCCGTCAAATTTACGAGTCCTTCGTCTTGAGTGTTGTAGAAAACTCGCTGCAAACCGCCCACTGTGGGGTTTAACAAGACTCAACTCTCTTAGAAGGTTGGACATCAGATTCAGTGAAGAAGATGGAGAAGAAATGGGATGTTCGTTTCTGGAAGAAGGTTTGTTGCCCGCCACTCTCACTAGTCTCTCCATCAGCTTTCATCCAAATCTTACAACCATCCAAGGCAAGGTTTTGAGACAACTCACCTCTCTTGAACACCTCACAATAAAAGGATGCCCGGAGCTCCAAGGCTTTCCAGAAGAAGCACCCAAATCTCTGAAAAGCTTGACTATTTCGGATTGCCCTAATATCGGGTGCTTGCCAGGAGAATGGCTTCCCACATCTCTTTCTCGACTGGAAATCCGAAGGTGTCCGCTGTTAAAAGAACGATTCCGGGAAGATTGGCCCAAGATTTCTCACATCCCCAAAATATATATCAGCATGAATGTTCGCGTCATCCCAAAACACTTTAGTTGGATACGTTTCTGATGGTTATTTTTTAGGAAAATTAATGAAAAGGGTTTGAAAACTTTGAGTTTTAATGATAAGGACAAAATAAAGGGTAAAGTGAATAGTACCAGGATTGACTTTTTAGTGTAAAAATGTGATTTTTCGTTAAAATAAACAGTACCGGGAGTTTTTCGTTAAAGTTTCCTATTTTTTTTAGTATGTTTGGTTAGTACTCCAGCTCCAGGCTCATTATCTTTGTATGCAAGTTGTCTCGATCGATTCGATTTGTGTTGCCAGTTTAATTAAATGAGCTTTAATAAAAAAAGTTTTGACTAAATTTAATTTAATCAAAAACCATTATAAATTAAGGAAAACTCATGAAAAGGGCTTGAAAACTTTGGATTTTAACCAAAAACCATGTTACAACTTTATTTAATGGTTAATACAAAGCCCAATACTAAAGCAATCCAACTACAATGGCCCAACCAAAATAATATCATTACTTGTCGATTTTGCCCCTAACGTTTTAGGTTAAGTCAGTTTTGTTTTATTCTGTCAGTTTACTTTTGCCCTTTTCAGAAAGCTGAAAAAGTCACGATTCTTTATATTCACCCCCAACAACTCATAAATCCCACGAGCTCCCTCTCGCGCTCCCCCATTCTCTCTTTCACTTTCTCTCTCTAACTTTGTATCTGCAACTCCATTTCGATTTTTCAAGTTGATGATGGGAAACTGATTTAGTGCGCAAATAAAGAGAGGAGAGAGAAGAACACACATAAATTCTGGGTTTTATTCATCTGTCATTTGATTTTCTAATCCCGGATTGCTTCTCGTTTGCTTCCAAATCCTGAATTATTTCTTGAAGTCAATGAGGGTGTTGAATTTTATTAGTCCGAGGTTGGTGAGTCATCACAGAAGAGGGTTTGTATTTCAATTCGGAAGGAGGGAGGTTGATTCGGTGGAACTGGATTTGTCAAAGTGGGTGATTGGGGGCTCCGCCGATGGATTCGCAATGGCAACAGAAACTGATTCGCTGGCAAGGTGATGTGGAGTTAAAGGGCACTCAATGCACTAAAACTGATGTGGGTTTACAATGTTAGCATGTAAAACTCTTAACAAATTCTGCTAAAGTTATTCTTGTGACTCTCTCAAACTCGCATCTCGGTGGGTTTACAAGGGGTGGGCTAGGTTCAATTTGGTCTGGGTTGTGGGCGACCAAAACTGATGTGGGTATTTTTGTATGCGTAAATGGAGAGAGAAGCTTAGTTTGTGTGGAAAAACAAATTAAAGGAAAGTCAAAAAAATTGATTGAGAGAAATGTCAAATAACAAACACGAATATGATAGTTCTAGTTACGAAATAGTGATAGTATTAGTGTTCGGTTTTAAAAATAGTCAGTGTTTAGTTTACGAACTAGTGATAGTACTAGTGTTCTATTTGAGAAATAATCAGTGTTTAGTTTACAAAACAGTGATAGTACTAGTGTTCGTTTGATAAATAGTCAGTGCTTAGTTTACGCAATAGTGACAGTACTTGTGTTCAGTTTATGAAATAGTGATAGTACTAATGTTCGGTTTAAGATATAGTCAGTGTTTAATTTGAGAAATAGTGTTCATTTTAAGAAGTAGTCAATGTTCAGTTAAGAAATAGTGATGGTACTAGTGTTCCGTTTGAGAAATAATCAGTGTTTAGTTTACGAAACAGTGATAGTACTAGTGTTCCGTTTAATAAATAGTCAGTGTTTAGTTTACGAAACAGTGATAGAACTAGTGTTTGTTTGAGAAATAGTCAATGTTTAGTTTACGAAACAGTGATAGTACTAGTATTCCGTTTAAAAAATAGTCAGTGTTTAGTTTATGAAACAGTGATATTACTAGTGTTTCGTTTAAGAAATAATCAGTGTTTGGTTTACGAAATAATGATAGTACTAGTGTTCGTTTGATAAATAGTCAGTGTTTAATTTTCGAAATAGTGACAATACTTGTGTTCAGTTTATGAAATAGTGATAGTACTAATGTTCAGTTTAAGATATAGTCAGTGTTTAATTTAAGAAATAATGTTCATTTTAAGAAGTAGTCAATGTTCAGGTAAGAAATAGTTATAGTACTAGTGTTCCGTTTGAGAAATAATCAGTGTTTAGTTTACGAAACAGTCATAGTACTAGTGTTCAATTTAATAAATAGTCAGTGTTTAGTTTATGAAACAGTGATAGTACTAGTGTTCGTTTGATAAATAGTCAATGTTTAGTTTACGAAATAGTGATAGTACTAGTGTTCCGTTTGATAAATAGTTAGTGTTTAGTTTACGAAATAGTGACAGTACTAGTGTTCGTTTGATAAATAGTCAGTGTTTAGTTTACGAAATAGTAACAATACTTGTGTTTAGTTTATGAAATTAGAGGCCAATACAAACCTTGTATAATCTATTTATGAAACAGAACACGGGTACTATTTATGAAACTGAACACGATTACTATTTATGAAATAGGACACGGAAACTATTTATGAAACTAATCAAGGGTACTAATTATGAAATTGAACACGGGTACTATTTATGAAACAGAACATGAAAACTATTTATGAAACTGAACACGGGTATTATTTACGAAACAGAACACGAAAACTATTTATGAAACTGAACACGGGTACTATTTATGAAATTGAACACGATTACTATTTATGAAACTGAACACGGAAACTATTATGAAACTGAACACAAAAATTATTTATGAAACTAAACACGAGTACTATTTATGAAACTAAACACATATACTATTTATAAAACTAAACACGAGTACTATTTATGAAACTTCAAATATACCAAATACAACAATGTACCATTTTTTTCATTCGTGAGAATAAAGTAGAAACATACAACATGTTGAGTAAATCAAGAAAGCATATGCCACCACCAAACTTATATTAAAAATCGTAACTTTTAATTTGAACACATCACAATTTCCAACACAATAATCCAAAATTAACTAAACTAATCAGTCAAGTAGAAATCAGGAGTGCAGATCTTCTGCACCGAAAATTATATGTGGCCTCTCATTGGCTTCCCTCAAAATTTACACTTGTCCCTCAATTGATTCAATATAACATTGTTAACTATCCAAATAAAAACTCTGAAAAAAAAAAGAAAAGAAAGGAAAATAGCAGCCCATTACCCAGTCTTCACCTACCAACGCCACTAGCGCACAATCCATCATCAACCCCACCGCGTCCAAAATTGCAAAACCAAAAAACAAGGGGATTTTTTTCGAGTGAGGAAGGTGAAAGGTCTGCGACTCTCTGTCCGAGAAAAAAACAACAAGGGGCATTGATTCCATCTGCATCAAAGTAATTTTTTTGTCCTTATGGGAGGAAAAGAAAAGAAAAAGATAGGAAGTTTTATTTGATCGAGGGGATGGCTGAAAAGGGGAATCAGTTTCTGTTGCCATTGCGAATCCATCGGCGGAGCCCCCAATCACCCACTTTGACAAATCCATTTCCACCGAATCAACCTCCCTCCCTCCAAATTGAAATACAAACCCTCTCATGTGATGACGCACCAACCTCGGACTAATCAAATTCAACACCCCCGTTGACCTCAAGAAATGATTCAGGATTGAAGTTTAATTCTAACAGATTGGTTGACAGAATGCGATTTCTGTTAGGGGCAGGGGCTGGAAAAAAAAATATTCTGTTTTGGGTTTTTAATTCATCCCATGTGGGTTTAATGGTTGTGGGCCTAAAATAGATTAGTTTTGTCCTTATAATTAAATATAAAGCCCTTTTGATTAAATAATAGTATATGGTGGTTTTTGGTTAAATTAAACTTTGTTCAAACCATTTTCATTAAAGCTCCCTATAAATTATTATTTAACTGAAAAAACTTCATATTTAATTATAAGAACAAACAAACTTATATTAGGTCCTGCAAACAGTAACAGACATGGACTGAATTAAAAAGCCCAACATGCAATATCTTTTTTTCCAGCCATGCCCCTGACAGAAATGTCATTCTGTCAGCCCAATTCCATTAGAAATAAATTTTCCTTTTTTTACAAGTATGTCACCACCTCCCAAAGCCCAAATATTATATGAAAATGAAAATTTTGAAAGTTTCCATGAATTCTCCTATCAGAACGTCCCTAATTGTAGCCTAAGTGATTTGACTCTTAAATAAATAAAAAAATAAGCTATTATCATCAATGTTACTTATTATTCATGTTTGGGCGAAGTGCTGATTTAGTCCCTGAACTATCACCTCAGTGAAAATTAGGTCCCTGAATTATTTTTTTCGGTAAAATAAGTTCCTAAATGCATTAGAAATTGCTAATTTCATTCATACTATTATATTCATGAGAGCTTTAATGAAAAGTGACACACCCCGATCCGGAGGATCCAGGTGTGCTGGCCGTCACGTGGGCGTGACGTAACCATAGGCACGACACGGAAGCGGAATAACAACATCAATCAACAGAAGTTCAAACCAAACTCAAACATAACCATCTACGGACATAACCGGACGAGTTATAAGGTAAACACATAAGTTCAGAGCATAGGTTAACTGCAGTCAAGTAGGACTAAAATAAAATACATCACCCTCAGGTGAGTCCTACATGTCGAAAGTCTGTTAGAAAGCCGGAAAAGACCTCGAGAGTCACCAGCCGCTAAATTAGAACCTGGAGGGGCGCAAAACAAAATGAGTGGGTCAGTAAAAACCAAAGATTTTCCAAAACATTTCAATTAAAACATTTCTAACCCCTCACCGTAAAACCTGTATACATTCCCAGAAAATATATATAACCATATGAAATCTCAAAACTTAAATCTCAAACCTTTAACATTTTTCAAGAAAACATGCCATGCCATAAATCAAAATATAAATCAGGTGAAATAAGGAATCAATCGGAGACCATGCAGTTGGTCCTATACGATTAATTCAATAGCTCAATATCCCACTAAGCCGGAGTCACCACAGTGACCTGTACGGCCCTACTCTGCACATCACTCGGAACTACGTAAGGTAGTCTATACGATGAAAGGTGTAAAAATACGCTTTAGTGCTTCACTCATCATATCATCAGTGCGCATAACTAAGGTCACCCACTAGTCGGAATCACGCCTAGTGATCTATACGACTAGCATGTCGGAACCCTCACATGGTCTGTACGACATCCACCTACTTGGATCCGAGGCGAGCGTGCGGTGTGGTGAATAATATAAGCACTAACACCTAGGGTGCATGTTATGAGCTCAAAACATCTCAACAACAACAATTCAATGAATAAATGAACTCACCTGACTTACCTGTGCCTCCACAGCACCATGCAACATGTATGCATCATATATCAATCATATATCTCATGTGAAATTCATATTCATCAAATAATCCTATGCATGGCATTTTAAAACATATTTTCATATAAATTCATTTTTCTGGGAAAAATCGATAGTATAAAGGTAATACGAAAGCAAAACTGCCCATTCACTGATAAGTCGACGGGTCGTAACCCCCGTGGCGTCCCTGGATGCGGTCGTCCTCGGGATACGTCTCACCTATATGCGAAACAACTAAAATGACATTATTTAAAGCACATCACCAACGTTTCGTAATAATTTCTCATACGATACTCAATCTTGACAAATGAATACACCAACGCGATCTACACAACCTCACGAGCATCGCAAAATTTTTAAAATAATTTTTTGAAGCCTCACGCGCCCCCACGCGCCAAAACAGGCACGGGTCTACGCGCCCCCACGCGCAGCCACGTGCGAGTCATGCGGACGGCGTCAGTTGACGCCGTCAGGAATATTCCCGGAATATTTCGTCAGAACTAACGGTTACCGTTACTGCCGTTAGGAATATTCCGTTAAAACTAACGGAATATTCCTCCTTCTTCTCCGACCTACCCTCGCCGGACTCTGGTCACCGGAAAACTGGGAAAATTTTCTAACTAGCTATTCTCACTCATTTTTCGTCCATTTTTCTCGTACTTTACACCAAAATGAAGCCCTAAATGAGTACTATCACGATGGACTAATTTTAAACACCAAAAAGCACGGGATCATACCTTCCAAAAATCCAAGAAAATCGGCCAAACTCGAACTAGGTGATCTCGACGTCCAATTCTTCCAAATGAAGCACTCCGAGCTTCCTTAGGACTTCACCAAGCTTCCTACAAGCTTCAAAATCCCAAAAACTTAAAGATTTATGTGTGCATGAACAGTGCACCACCACGGGGACTTTGAAATCTAGGGTTTTCGAAGGAAACATTACCTGAAAGTGGTGTCAGTGCATTCGTGAAGTCTTCAGGAGTCCATTGGTGTCCTCAAGATCGTCGATCCACAAAGTTTGGAAGGGTTTTGGGATCTGTCCGTACAATTTGGAGAGGAAGAGAGACTAAGAGGGAGAGATCGTGAGGGAAGAGAGAGAGAGGGAAGACACGGGGAAGGAGAAGGAGAGAGATCTTTTTGTGGTCCACACCAATCCACCCATACATTTCATCCTAACCATACATAAAAATCCATCTTTCAAAATATTTTCTAATACCCTTGCATAATATTTGAACAAATAAAGTCTCACACACACGTACCTTAACAACGTCAAGGGCAATCTCGTCATTTCATATTCCCGTCAAAAGTACTTCTGGGACGGGCTGTGACAAAAAGGGCTTGAGTTAAGTTTACTTTAACAAAAAATCATCCTATACTATTATTTAACCAAAACGGCTTTATATTTTATGATAAGAACAAAACTATTATATATCAGGCCCTATAAACCTTGAATACACATGGGCTGAATTAAAAGCCCAAAACGAAATACTTTTTTTTTTTCCAGCTCTTACCCCTAACGGAACCCCACTCCGTCAGCCACTCCAATTAGAAATAGACTTTCCTTTTTTACAAGTATGCCACTTCCTCATTAAAAAACAAAATATTGAAATAAAAAACCCCAATAATTTATACGATCACAAATCTCATCTTGAATTTTGTTCGTTCTTGCTTCGTTAATTTTAAATCGGAGGGAAAAATGTTAGGACCTGTTTGGTTGCTCAGAAAATTTCACTGAGATTCTGTTTTCTGTTTAGAGTTTGAAACTTGCAGAGTTAATTTCAATGGAGGAAGCTCAGAATGGAGCCCTCATTTTTGCGTTTTATTATGCTGATTTGAGTTCCGAAAGACTGAAAATCCCAAAAAGATTCATGAGAAAAATGGAAGGCAGAATAACTGGGTTGGTTTTTTTGTTCGACCTTAGCGGCAGTGCGTGGAGGATTGAATTGATTCAACAGAATGGTGGTTTTTTCTTGCATCATGGGTGTAGTGGCTAAGCCAGAATTTGTCGAGGGGAGGGGCGAAATTCAAAAGAATGCAAGGTTTCAATTGAAGCGGTTGCTTTTATATTGGACAGTGCAAAGTTTTAAGTCAATATTCATAACAAAAAACAGTCTCTTCACCACAACGGTTGTAAGCGGTAATATCAAAGCTATGTAAGAAGCTTAAATTGGTTAGGATTAGATTCTAAGAAAATATTAGGCGCTATGGACTGAGACCTAGCAGCTAGGCGCCTAGACATGATTTAAGTAGGAGCCTAGATGGATTTAAATATATTTTTTATATCGTAAAATAAGTATTAAACAATATTTATATTATTTTTTAAAAATTAGTACAATATTTATAGATAATATGAAAGTTTAAGATAAATATGCTATGGGTCTTAAATAAATAATGTGAGAGTTAAACATAACTTTGTTAACTTTTAATAAGTTAACAAATAAATAATAAAAAGTAAATTAAAACCAGGGGTAGAATCCCCTCAGTTCTTGCAAAACACAAAACAATTGACCCCAAATCATAATGAAAGATCAAATTCCAAATTTCCATCCCAATTTTCCCTAGAAACAAACTGAAAATTCTCTTTCTAGGAAGTAGAAGAAGCCGAAAAGAAAAGCATCGCCGCTTGTCAGCGGTGGGTGAGGTGGTGTCTCTGCTTGATTTCAACATTAGTTCGGGTCTTTCTTCACAAAGCTTCGAGCCACCATTTCCATGGCCGGTGACAAAATCTATCGCATATGGATTCTTCTTGTCCGTCAATGGCGAACCCGCCTGTAGGCAGATGACATCTTCAATGATTTTTCTTCGAACCCAGGTGCGCCCACATCCTGCCCCATTTCCGTCAAACAAATAAAGAAGGAGACATGAATGAGACACCACTTTCGGGACAGCAGCCCCGGAGCCGTAGTCAGTACTACTATGTTGATAACCAAACACCTCATTTCTCCTACCACTACCCCTGCCATGGCAAATCTGCAAACTCGAAGTCGAAGCCCTTCATCGATCCCATCGCAACCTACTCCCAAAAAAAAAATTGCATATCTGCTGCTGCTGTGCGCAGTAGAACAGATCACCCAACAACACAAACAGAGGATGAACAGTGGGTTTTTCAAAGAGGAGGGGAGTGGCGAACCCAGCTCTGCAGTGGTGTTTCCCGGCGAAGCCGCCACTCCTCACCCTCACGTGGCTTTGCCACTGCATGGGTGGTTAACATTTGTGATAGACCATTACGTAGAATGCTGGGACTTCTTGATTTTTAGATACGACGGTGATTTGCGTTTCACCGTGCTAATCTCTTATAAAAGTTTGTGTGAGAAAGAAGCTGCATTTCGTTTTGGATATAGCCAAGCCTCTAGCAACTTTGAAAAGTATGTGTATATGGAACGAAAAAGGGGAAGGGAGGAGGCCGCATCTTCTGGCAATAAGCTGGTTGATGGTGCGACGAAGAAGATGAGAAATGGCTTGTCTCAGTTCCACTCAGAATGCATCGATGAGGGCTGAGAAGAAGCAACTTGTTCCAAGGAAGAAAATCCACATGAAAATCCCTGGCTTGGATGTTGTACTAAGAAAAGTCTGGTTTGGATGTTGTTCTATATATATAAAGCAAAGTTTCAAAGAAATGAGACCATAATAAAAATCTTGTTGAGTAGCACCCACCATTAACATTCCATCCTGCGCCACAATGCTGGCAAACACTAGTAGTACTAGTGCATTGTTATTTGTTATAGTACCTGTGAGCCATTCATCCAAATTTCCTTAAACGTGCTTGTTACTTGTTTGATTTTATATATACAGCATCAGCATAGCACACATAACTAAGATGACTTGTCGTGAGGGTGGTGGGTTAGGATTAGCTAATTTGGTAATCCAACTTCTGGTTGCCTAATTGACTAATAGTCTAATTATAATTAAAGTCATTGTCGTAATTGCGTTCAATGTTACTTATTAGGATGAGTTATTTTGGTTCTGTTAAAAAATAGTTAGTCAGTTTAATAAATAGTGTAGTACATGTGTCAGTTTCATAAATAGTTTAATAAATAGTGTAGTACCCGTGTCAGTTTCATAAATAGTCAGCCAGTTTAATAAAAATAGTGAGTGACAATGTCAGTTTCATAAATAGTGTAGTACATGTGTCAGTTTCATAAATAGTCAATCAGTTTAATAAATAATGTTGTACCTATATCAATTTCATAAATAGTCAGTCAGTTTAATAAATAGTGTAGTACCCAATGTCAATTTCATAAATAGTGAGCTTAATAAATAGTGTAGTACATGTGTTAGTTTCATAAATAATCAATCAGTTTAATAAATAGTGTAGTACCCATGTCAATTTCATAAATAGTGAGTTTAACAAATAGTGTAGTACTTGCATTAGTTTCATAAATAATCAATTTAAGAAATAGTTAGTGTTCAGTTTAAGAAATAGTGATATTATTAGTAATCAGTTTAAGATAGAGTGATAGTATCTGTGTTTAGTTTTCAAAAATAGTTAGTATTCAGTTTAAGAAATATTGTAGTATTCGTATTTAATTTCAGAAATAGTCTGTTTAAGAAATAGTGTAGTATCAATTTTTAGTTTCAGAAATAGTACATGTGTCCAGTTTCAGATATAACCATTAAAAAAAAAGAGTTTAATAAAAAAAGTTTGGACTAAGTTAATTTTAACCAAAAAAACATCCTATAATCTTCTTTAATATAAGAAGCTTGAAATTTAATAAACATGACAAAATACAATATAACAAAAACTAAAACTAAAGCCTCATAGGTAGTAAATAAGCCCACATGCAAAACCAAATTTTTTTATTCCAACCAATACCCCTGATGGAAACTCCATTCCGTTAGTCCAATTCCATCAGAAAATTGATTTTTCCCAGGTTTGAACTGAATGAAAGGTTTGTCGGGGCCACACTTCCATTAAATATTAGTTTGGTTGCGTCGTGTCTGCATGTCCATGAGTTTTAGCCTCCAACTCTCCTTTCTCAGTATCTTAGCCACTAAGATGTGTCACATGCCCCACTGCCTTCTCTAATCTTAAAAATTAGAACCTTCATCCCCAATTATTACTCCGTTGTTATTATTTTAATTATTAATTTATTAGCACTATAATTAGGCATATATATGTAAGTATATCCACCACAAAATAGCATATTAAATTTCAAGTACATCAATCTTTCCCATTTCTTAAAGACACCATAGAAAGCAATAGCAACTTCACTCATTTTTTCTTCTTACTCAACATTCTTTCATTTAACCCGATTTCCGACACAACCTGAAAAAGAAATCGAAACCGTGAGAGAAAAGTGTATGGCATGTACCGCAGGTTTATTGTCATGTATTTTTGAGCACGGCACAAATTGCTTCTCTCTGCATCTCCTCTCTTTAGTGTCTGATTTTGGTTTGAATGCATGTGATGTTCCTCATCCTATATGCTATCTTTTACTAATTAAATTTAGAGCCCAGTCAACATCTTCCTCATTTGTTTGCCATATCCATATACTCTTTCACTTGCAAAACATTAATCATATATAATTAAAATTGAATTGATTAAATCTCGATTGGTCTCAACTTCCAAGGAAAATAGAGGAACTAAAATGAGAAAGAAGGATTGCTTATTTACTAATTTATAAATTAGTAAGAAATTAGAGGAATTGAATTAAGAAGGATTTAGCCTGAGGAAGATTCAAAATCAAAATCATGTTAAATGCTTATTGAAATATTTATAGAATCAAGGTAAGATTAATATAAATTTCATATAAACTATTTATAAGTTAAACACACACACTCTCTCTCCCTCACTATTTTTAAAATGATTATTTAAAAAAAATGAACACGGGTACTACAGTTGTGAAATCTCGTTTCTGGATTTCATTATTATAATTTACGTATTGGTATTATAGAGATTTTATATTATTTTTTTCGGGACTCAGTAGACCATTTGAGGTCACAATTTATATTGTTGAATAGATATCGAGATCACGAACGCATTGGCTAAAGCCGTTTGCAAGTTCGGATTATAACGGTATAGTTACAAATGTTTGAAGTTGTTGCTAAAAAAAAAAGAAAATTGAAAAGAGAAGAAAAAGCCACGGGAGTGGCTGAAAAAAAAAAAGAAGTAAAGAAAGCCACACTGGTGGCG